AAGTTGAGACCAACAGAATACTGTACAGACGTTGTTAGAATAACTCTTATCTTTTAAGACTCCCCATATAATTTAGTCACATTTTCACAGTTTGCTGTTCTTTGTCCAATCCAATACATAAGTAACTGACTCTAAGTGCTTCTTTGGGCCTTCATTTCCTTAAGAGGACTCCTGTGCCATATAAAACTTGTAACTAAATTTGTACGGTTTTCTCCTATTATTCTGTCATGTCAGTTTAATGCTCAGACCCAGCAGGGATCCTACAAGGACGCAGGTGTAGTTTTTCCGCCCCTGCATATAACTACTGCTTGAATGATGGGAAGAAAAGCAAAGAATGAAAGCAAACCTCAGTTAATTGCTCTAAATATTATCCCACTACGTTTGTTACAGCACACGAATTGGTGTTAAATTGGCCAACAGAGAATAGTTATCCTTCGGGCATTTTACCAGGGAGTAAAACTTTGACACTTGTCACCCAATATTTATTACAAACTCTGTTAAAAGAAGCAATATTCAATAAGGGTTGACTGAAAGACACATAGACATTTCAGATTTTATAAAATATATTCCTGGCTTCATTCAAATTAGCAGGAATTTGAGAACCTAGATTGCAATATATTGGTTCTTTTAAGAATTGCTTTTTCTGAATTGCAGTCCAGTGTGGCATCGTTTGCCTACATTTGAAATAACTATAAGAAATTGCCCTAAAAAAGTCATTGTTTAATTTATTACAATCCCATCATAAAAGATTTTCACTTCAGTACATAAGGGCCTCTTTAATAAAGAGAAGCTCCTAACTGTAATTTGAACCCCAGGATTCATTGATTTTTTTTTTTTTTTTTTTTTTTTTTGAGACGGAGTCTCGCTGTGTCTCCCAGGCTGGAGTGCAGTGGCGTGATCTCGGCTCACTGCAAGCTCCGCCTCCCGGGTTCACGCCATTCTCCCGCCTCAGCCTCCCAAGTAGCTGAGACTACAGGTGCCCGCCACCACGCCCGGCTAGTTTTCTGTATTTTTAGTAGAGACGGGGTTTCACCATGTTAGCCAGGATAGTCTCGATCTCCTGACCTCGTGATCCACCCGCCTCAGCCTCCCAAAGTGCTGGGATTACAGGCTTGAGCCACCGCGCCCGGCCAGGATTCATTGATTTTTTGAAGGGTTTTTGTGTCTCTGTCTCCTTCAGTTCTGCTCTGATCTTAGTTATTTCTTGCCTTCTGCTAGCTTTTTTTTTTTTTTTAAAGATCAACAAAATTGATAGACCACTAGCAAGACTAATAAAGAATAAAAGAGAGAAGAATCAAGTAGACGCAATAAAAAATGATGAAGGGGATATCACCACTGATCCCACAGAAATACAAACTACCATCAGAGAACACTATAAACACCTCTACGCAAATAAACCAGAAAATCTAGAAGAAATTGATAAATTCCTGGACACATACACCCTCCCAAGACTAAACCAGGAAGAAGTTGAATCCCTGAATAGATCAATAACAGGCTCTGAAATTGAGGCAATAATTAATAGCCTACCAACCAAAAAAAGTCCAGGACCAGACGGATTCATAGCCGAATTCTACCAGAGGTACAAAGAGGAGCTGGTACCATTCCTTCTGAAACTATTCCAGTGAATAGAAAAAGAGGGAATCCTCCCTGACTCATTTTATGAGGCCAGCATCATCCTAATACCAAAGGCTGGCAGAGACACAACAAAAAAAGATAATTTTAGACCAATATCCCTGATGAACATCTATGCAAAAATCCTCAATAAAATACTGGCAAACCGAATCCAGCAGCACATCAAAAAGCTTATCCACCATGACCAAGTGGGCTTCATCCCTGGGATGCAAGGCTGGTTCAACATTCGCAAATCAATAAATGTAATCCAGCATATAAATAGAACAAAAGACAAAAACCACATGATTATCTCAACAGATGCAGAAAAGGTCTTTGACAAAATTCAACAGCCCTTCATGCTAAAAACGCTCAATAAATTCGGTATTGATGGGACGTATCTCAAAATAATAAGAGCTATTTATGACAAACTCACAGCCAATATCATATTGAATGGGCAAAAACTGGAAGCATTCCCTTCGAAAACTGGCACAAGACAAGGATGCCCTCTCTCACCACTCCTATTCAACATAGTGTTGGAAGTTCTGGCCAGGGCAATCAGGCAAGGGAAAGAAATAAAGGGTATTCAATTAGGAAAAGAGGAAGTCAAATTGTCTCTGTTTGCAGATGACATGATTGTACATTTAGAAAACCCCATCGTCTCAGCCCCAAATCTCCTCAAGCTGATAAGCAACTTCAGCAAAGTCCCAGGATACAAAATCAATGTGCAAAAATCACAAGCATTCTTATATACCGGTAACAGACAAATAGAGAGCCAAATCATGAATGAACTCCAATTCACAATTGCTTCAAAGAGAATAAAATACCTAGGAAGCCAACTTACAAGGGATGTGAAGGACCTCTTCAAGGAGAACTACAAACCACTGCTCAACGAAATAAAAAAGTACACAAACAAATGGAAGAACATTCCATGCTCATGGATAGGAAGAATCAATATTGTGAAAATGGCCATACTGCCCAAGGTAATTTATAGATTGAATGCCATCCCCATCAAGCTACCAATGACTTTCTTCACAGAATTGGAAAAAACTACTTTAAAGTTCATATGGAACCAAAAAAGAGCCCACATTGCCAAGTCAATCCTAAGCCAAAAGAACAAAGCTGGAGGCATCACGCTACCTGACTTCAAACTATACTACAAGGCTATAGTAACCAAAACAGCATGGTACTGGTACCAAAACAGAGGTATAGACCAATGGAACAGAACAGAGCCCTCAGAAATAATACCACACATCTACAACCATCTGATCTTTGACAACCCTGAGAAAAACAAGAAATGGGGAAATGATTCCCTATTTAATAAATGGTACTGGGAAAACTGCCTAGCCATATGTAGAAAGCTGAAACTGGATCCCTTCCTTACACCTTATACAAAAATTAATTCCAGGTGGATTAAATACTGAAATGTTAGACCTAAAACCATAAAAACCCTAGAAGAAAACCTAGACAATACCATTCAGGACATAGGCATGGGCAAGGACTTCATGTCTAAAACACCAAAAGCAATGGCAACAAAAGCCAAAATTGATAAATGAGATCTAATTAAACTAAAGAGCTTCTGCACAGCAAACGAAACTACCATCAGAGTGAACAGGCAACCTACAGAATGGGAGAAAATTTTTGCAATCTACTCATCTAACAAACAGCTAATATCCAGAATCTACAAAGAACTCAAACAAATTTACAAGAAAAAAACAAACAACCCCATCAAAAAGTGGGTGAAAGATATGAACAGACACTTCTCAAAAGAAGACATTTATGCAGCCAACAGACACATGAAAAAATGCTCATCATCACTGGCCATCAGAGAAATGCAAATCAAAACCACAATGAGATACCATCTCACACAAGTTAGAATGGCGATCATTAAAAAGTCAGGAAACAACAGGTGCTGGAGAGGATGTGGAGAAATAGGAACACTTTTACACCATTTGTGGGACTGTAAACTAGTTCAACCATTGTGGAAGACAGTGTGGCGATTCCTCAAGGATCCAGAACTAGAAATACCATTTGACACAACCATCCCATTACTGGGTATATACTCAAAGGATTATAAATCATGCTGCTATAAAGACACATGCACATGTATGTTTATTGTGGCACTACTCACAATAGCAAAGACTTGGAACCAACCCAAATGTCCATCAATGACAGACTGGATTAAGAAAATGTGGCACATATACACTATGGAATACCATGCAGCCATAAAAAAGGATGAGTTCCTGTCCTTTGTAGGGACATGGATGAAGCTGGAAACCATCATTCTCCGCAAACTATTGCAAGAACAGAAAACCAAACACCACATGTTCTCACTCATAGGTGGGAATTGAACAGTGAGAACACTTGGACACAGGAAGGGAACATCACACACCAGGGCCTGTCGTGGGGTGGAGGGAAGGGGGAGGAATAGCATTAGGAGATATACCTAATGTAAATGACTAGTTAATGGGTGCAGCACACCAACATGGCACATGTATACTTATATAACAAACCTGCACATGGTGCACATGTACCCTAGAAATTTAAGTATAATGAATAAAAAATAAAAATAAAAATTTGAACCCCAAATGTCTGTACTTCTTAGCACTTGTTTGTAATTATCTTTTTTTTTTTTTTTTTTGAGATGGAGTTTCACTCTGTTGCCCAGGCTGGAGTGCAGTGGCATGATCTCGGCTCACTGCAAGTTCTGCCTCCCGGGTTCACGCCATTCTCCTGCCTCAGCCTCACAAGTAGCTGGGACCACAGGCACCCGCCACCACGCCTGGCTAATTTTTTGTATTTTTAGTAGAGACGGGGTTTCACCGTGTTAGCCAGGATGGTCTCGATCTCCTGACCTCATGATCCGCCCGCCTCAGGCCTCCCAAAGTGCTGGGATTACAGGCGTGAGCCACTGCGCCCGGTCAGTAATTATCTTATAAACATTGTCATTAGTGTGTTTGGTCATGTTTTCCTTTTCACATTCACTGCTAGGAATCTTAGATCCAAACTTGTAAACAACCCACGAGGACTATTTAGGTCATTATTTGGGGCTTTGTTTCCAGCTTCATTTGCTAGCCCCTCTCTTATTTTTTTCTTCTTTCATCCTACTTTTAGTTTACATTTTGTTGTTGCATCTTCTCTATTCTTGTGAGCTTACTTAAATCCTTTCTGGACATGGAGATACAAACAAATAAATATAAGGTTCATAAACAAATATATTTCAGTAAAGTTTGTATCTATTTTGTAGAGATGGGCTTTCACCATGTTGTCTAGATGGGTCTCAAACTCCTGGGCTCAAGCAATCCACCAGCCTCAGCCTCCTAAAGTGCTGGGATTACAGGCGTGAGCCACATGTCTGGCCAAGAAGCAATTCTTTAAATGTCTTAACCCACCTTCCCATGGTCACAATGTAGGAAGAGTTCAGCGAACATCTGCCTCCGCATGTCAGCTTTTATGACCTCCCGGAATTCATCTGCAGAGTGGCAAAGGTGCTTAAGGAGTTCCTCAAACATTTCACTCTTCAGGTCTTTAATATGTGAAGAGATGTACTACAGGGAAAAAAAGAGGATAAACGATTGACTTAAAACCATGCTCTACTTGGATTTTCCCCAGGATTCAACCAATGTGCATGAAATACATTGGCTGTAAAATGTTTCCATATGATTTGCTTATCACTTAGATGAAGCATTTTCATGTTAGCTGCTCTAAAAGCTGTGATGCAGAGAGAGGTAACTAATGCAGTCCCCAGTACCACACATCAGTGGGACTAGATATATTTGGAGCTATTTCCCTCTATATCACATCAACATTATATAGGGCAGATTTTCCTCACAGTATGAAATAGCAGTAGTTGCCTGTAAAATGCTACCTGCAAATTAAAAATTCTAAAAATTGAATGCAGTTTTTCTATGGTATATATATGGTATACAAAAGCACATGTATTGCAAGACTGGCTGCATTTAATTACTGGCGTGTAAGGGACAAGGATCATGGGTGGCTTTTTGTTTTTTGATATTGCAATAAGATATCCTTTGTCTATGATCTTCTTTTAAAAGTACAGGGACTGAAAACATCTATACTCTTCGGCCATTTCTCTTGATCCCTGTTGAGTAGATTCCCAGAAGTGGAATTTCTAGCTTAGAGGATTAATGCACCTGAATATTTTGTAGGTTTGACATGGGGCTTGCACCCTTTTGCACTCCTATCACTAATGCATGAGTGACTATTTCTTCTCAGCCTCACCATCAGTGTGTATTGGCATCTGAGTTTTTGCCAATTTGATAGGTCAGGAACGAATTACATTCTTGGTCTACACTTTACTATAAGAGGTAGAAGGTATCCTGTGATAGAGAGAAGTGATCAAGCACTGCAAGAGTTTCTGAGAGCACTCCTTTTAAAGTGTGAGCTCTGTTCACAGCCGATGATTTCCTCCCCTGCCTCACGCACAGAAGTAGCCAAAGTTATACTGCATGACCCCACTTCCATAGCCATAAATGATTGAACCAGGGGAAACACTTAAGGCCATTCAGATTCTCTCCACTAGGAACTGGGGATTACAACTGAGTAACAGCCAGTTAATCTGAGTGGGCCTGAATTTGTGAATGTGTAGTCGAGGCAAAACTTTACATCTACTCTCTTAGGGTCTTTGGCTGGGCCTGAGAATTAAATTGACATAAGATAGGTTAGTAGGAGAAAGGCATAAAGATTTAATATAAATTTTATGTGACATAGGAGCTGTCATAAAGAAATGAAGACCCAAAGAAATGGCAAAAACTACATGCTTTTATTAATATATTGGGTTGAACAAAGAGAGGCAATTGTGGAAAAGTAACTAAATTATGTTGGGAAGCTAAAAGGAAGATAATAATTATCTTAACAAGGTCTGTTTGTACAGAATTCTCTCAGCTAAGACTCCCGATTGAATAATGTTTCCTTTCTCCTAATACAGGGAGGACATCTTTCACATGGAGATTTTAACTTCCTATTTTCAGGAAGAAAAAGGGAGATTAGAATGCCCTTCTTGTATCTATTTTTCAAGTGCCTTTAGCTGAAAGTAATCCTTATGCCAGAGTGGAATGTTTTGGCGTAGCATATTTTGCCACCCTTCAAATGTAAATTTAAGAGTTTTGGGGTGGCCAGATTCCTCCATGTGAACTGAGACTGCCGGGAAAGTCTGTTATGGAGAGAAACAGATGAAATGGAAAGCAGAGAGAAGCAGTCTTAACACTTTCCAAGTCCTCGTTCTAGTCTCTTCCTGAAGCCCTTGGATTGTGCACATTTCATATTCAGCTGTACAGCTCAGGTTGGTTTCTGGTTCTTGTAATTGGCATGCATTTAACATGGTTTGTAAAAATCATGTTCCACTTTAGTAATTTGTTTAAAATGGAACATGTTTTTGGCATATTTCATTGACATATAATTTTTGTTTTTATTTTTTTAGAGATAGGGTCTCATTCTGTTGCCCAAGCTGGAGCGCAGTGGTACAGTGGCACAATCATGGCTCACTGCAGCCTTGACCACAAGAATCAAGTGATCCTCCTACCTCAGCCTCCTGAGTTGCTGGAACTACAGGTGCGAGCCACCACACCTGGCTAATTAAAAAAAAAAAACAAAAAAAAAACTGTGTGTGTAGAGATAGCGTCTCACTATGTTGCCCAAACTGGTCTTAAACTCCTGGGCTCAGGTGATCTTCCTGCTTCAGCCTCCCAAAGTACTGAAATTACAGGCATGAGCCACTGTACCCAGGATCACTGTCATTATTCTTGATGGATCAATGCACACAGTTAAGTTCTTATCTGTTACCATGGGAAGCAGAGTAGTGGAAACAGCTAAGAACTTACTCTGAAGCCTGTCTGGGCTCAACTCCCTGTTCTCATGTCCCTTCATTTGTGAAATGGGTATCACAGCAGTAGTTACCTCACTGAGTTATGGTATGTACGATCTGGGTGTTTCACGTAGTAAGTTCTCTTCAGCCATTGTGCTTGTCTACTCTTGAGGTAGGTAAGAAATTGGCCAAGAACATCTTCTTCATTAAATAAACAGTCCTCTTAGCTAATAAACAACTTTAGAAGGAGAAAACCCAACAAGATCAGCGGTTCTCAAAGCGTGATCCCTAGATCAACAGCATCAGCATCATCTGAGAACTTGTCAGAAATGCAAATTTTTGAGCCCCCTCACCCCCCACATTTACTGAATCAGAAATTCTGGGGGTAGGGCCCAACAAGCTATAGTTTAACAAGCCTCCCAGGTAATTCTGATGCTCGTTAAAGTTTGAGAACCACTGAACTCCATGATCTGGGGTATCTGGTCCTAATTAGTCCCGTATCCTAAGATCCTGTTGTTTGATCCTTAATGACTTTTAACTTGACTAATAGGTATTTTTCTATATTACTCATAAGTTAGAATTATTGAATAATTGACATTTTCTGGCAGCATTGTAGCTCAGTCCTCTAATGCTGAAAAAAAATTGGTATTTGGAAGAATCATCCTGTTTTAAATTAAGTTTTTGGGAACTGACTTCAAAGCCATATGAGTTTTCTGGCTGTGGGAATGCTATTGAATCAATAATTAGTTTTAAAAGGCTGAGGCAGGAGGATTGCTTGAGGCCAAGAGCTTGAAGCCAGCCTGAGAAACATAGGAAGACTTCATCTCTACAAAAGATTTAAAAATTTAGCCAAGAGTGGTGGTGCATGCTTGTAGTCCCACTTAGGAGGCTGAGGTGGGAGGATCACTTGAACCCAGTAGTTCAAGGTTTCAGTGAGCTATGACCACATCATTCCAGCCTAGGCAACAGAGCAGGACCCTGTTTCAAAAAAAAAAAAAAAAGAATTAGTTAAAAAACCTTTCTCTGGGCTGGGCACAGTGGTTCACGCCTATAATCCCAGCACTTTGGGAGGCCGAGGTGGGCAGATCACCTGAAGTCAGGTGTTCAAGACCATCCTGGCCAACATGGTGAAACCCTGTCTACTAAAAATTAAAATTAGCCAGGCATAATGGTGGGTGCCTGTAATCCCAGTTATTCAGGAGGCTGAGGCAGGAGAATCGCTTGAACCCTGGAGGCGGAGGTTGCAATGAGCCGAGATTGCGCCATTGCACTCCAGCCTAGGCAACAGAGCGAGCGAGACTCTGTCTCAAAACAAACAAACAAAAAAACAAACATCTTTTTCTGAGAGACACTTCTGGATTTTTCATCCCTGAAAGTTCTAAAGGAAAAACAATATTCTGGAGCTGTAGTCTGTGGGTTTTCTGAGTTTGCATATTCTGATTGTTCTGTAAGTATAGGCTAGCTGGCATAAAGACTAACAGTTGGCAATATCAACTACAAATCAAATTCCAAATATAAGAATTACAGAAGTTTGCCAATATCTCTTACAAAAACAGAAAAAGGTGAAAATAGATAGGAGCCTCCATGTTTTCATACCTTTCCAAGCAATGATTGCTTAATTTAAGAATAAATTACCAATATCCTTCAGTTAATATCTCTGTGAGCTGTTAAACATTCAAACTGTACTTAGTCAAGTTATCTCTATGTGCTAAGTCCCAATGTAATGAATTCTGGGATTTTCCTGTCTGACTTAATGCTGAGAATGTGGTAAATATCACATTTAATAGCTATTGTAAGATTCTATAGCTCTGGGCCAATGGGATTCATACTTATTTAATTGTAGACATACTGAAGAGTTGATGAAGTGGGCGATATAAGAGCAATAGGAAGAAAACTATGTTTGGAAACTATCTATCTTAGGTATTAACTTCCAAACAGTATTTGTAAGCGCTGGTAGTATACGAGGAGTGCAAACAAGGAGTACAGCATATTGAAGTACTCAGGTTATATTTGTTATCACTGAGGAAATGGTGTGTTCATACAGCCTGTGGGCAGAGAATTAACTTTCCAGTTTTAGGGAGGAACCTTTAGAAAAAAAAAAAAAATGATTAGGGCTAATTACATACAGACAGTCCCTGACTTATGGTAGTTCGATTTAACAATTTTTCCACTTTATGATGACAAAAAAGTGATATGCATTCAGTAGAAACTGTACTTTGAGTACCCATACAACAATTCTGTTTTTCACATTCAGTATAATATTTAATAAATTACATGAGCTACTCAACACCTTATTATAAAATAAGCTTTGTGTTAGATGATTTTGCGACTGTAGGCTAATATAAGTGTTCTGAGCACATTTAAGATGGTGTAGGCTAAACTGTGATGTTCAGTAGGTTAGATGAATTAAATGCATTTTTTACTTAGATATTTTCAACATACAATGAATTTACCAGGATGTAATCCCATCATAAGTCAAAGAGCATCTGTACTTAACAAATCTGTAACATACTTTTAACTCTTCTGATTTTTCAAAAGTCTGCTTAACAAATGAACAAAGGCCAAATTTATTGTCTAGTAATAATAAAAATGACAGATTTAAAATGTGCCTCTGATGGTGAATGTTATGGGCTAAGTTTTACCTCCTAAAATTAATATGTTGACAGCCTAACCCTCAGTACCTCAAAATGTAACTGTATTTGGAGATAGGGTCTTTAAAGAGGT